GGCTGAGGAATCTGATGGATTGGAAAGGTCCACTTAGATTTAAGCCGTCATACAGTGCTACTCTGACTTATCTGTTTAGATCTTATATCTCCTCTGGATGCTGGAGCGAAGTTTCCGACTGCCGTACTTTACGATAGGACTTCTCAGAAACGAGGCTGCTTCTCTGGATGCCGGAATAGGTCTTCACGTCGCCAGACTTCCCAACATTATTTCACCCACAGGAACAGTTTCTGGCGTTGATCGAGGACAATCACCTTGAGCTCGGAAGACGACGACTCAAGTATCGTCCACACGTTCAGGACCCCCAATTCACCACAAGTAAATTGCTTAAGGGGTAGTGGCAGAAGGAACCAGTCTACAAGACACTGACACTTGTTGGATCTTCATAACCCATGATAAAAAAAAAAGAGAACAAGGAATCTTGTCTGTATAACGGTCAATCGGCGAGACACAAGGAAAAACGCCTGCCTCCAAGACCGGACTATAGAGAAGCGACGCACACAAACACGTCCCCTAACAACAGCAGTTAGCGTACGAATCGCGCTCACTAATGCAGTGCAGTGGTCAGACAATTTATTTAGAATAGGCGCAGAAAATGTGTCCTAACATTCAATTCGACACTCAAAGCCTAAAAGAGTCATTATCAAAGGGTTTTATATGGATTTTTCCTATCAGGACCCCCCCACAACAAACGAACTATCTAACTATGCTTGGCCTATTCTATTACACAGTTACGATGACGAGTTTAGGGTGGTCAGCTATATGGACCTTCCTGCTGTGGCAGATGTGTGGATGCGGTCATGCGACAGTTGTGTGTTTCCAGTTCTTAGCAAAACAGCTGTCTGGTTTTACACCGATCTTTGCCTCGGCATAACGATTTGTTTTTTACGCAAACACAGCAAGAATTTCTTTACTGAAGAAAATATTAAAAATATCCAGTGGTTCATTTGTTCCTTCTGGCAGAAATAAACCTGAAGTTCCAGTAAATGGGGGTACTTCAGGAAAACCTTCCAAATCAAACTGCCAGTCGTCAACCAGTGGTGGGCGTGGCAAATCTTCCCCAGACTCGTCAGATGATGATGATTCTGAATCAAAAGTGGCAATTATATCTTCCTCATGTGCAGACTCAGGCACAAAATCTTCATAATCTATGGGCTCTGACTGAATACTCTCACAAGAACTATCAGTATCAGAAACTGCCGCAATACGACCACCACGAGTGTTCCGAGAATTCGACGCCATCATGAAAATTTCGTCTGTCTTACTGACACGTGAGCTTACTAAGAAAATTCGTCAAATTTGTACCTTGAGCACTACGAAGTTATTTCCCTTAATTAATCATAGAGAAGTAGACAAGCTAAAGGCTACAACTAAATTCATCACAAAAATCATGATTTTAACATGAAGGCAAGCATCCAAAGCTAAAATCGCAAGGAGTGTGACGTTGGCAACAGGAAGTAAACGTCACCTCGTTGCATTACGTGCGACACTGGTAGTCAGTGGGTTAAGAGTTTTGCCATTGGCGCGTATTTAATACTATGGCATTTCTTTCTTCTTGGTAATGACCATAATTTCCGTTTTCTTACAGTTTAATTCCAAGTCTAGTTTCTCACTGTGAACTATTACTGCATCCAAAAAACAATGTAGATCTTCTTCACTGTCTGCAGTTAACACTGTGTCCTCTGAATATCTGATATTGTTGATGTTACATCCTCCCACATAAATTCCCTTCATGTCTTTCAGTGTAATATTTTCACTATATAAGGACGCAGGGTCTAGAGACCTTACACATCCCACTCGCACACCTCTGTTGACTAGTTGATACAATCCTGCTTCATTGTTGAATCTTATAGCAGCATGTTGTTTCCAGTATATGTTTTTAATCAGTCAAAGGTCTTTTCCATCACTCTGTATATTTGTAAGCATTTTTATCATGTCGACATATCTTACTGTATCAAAAGCTTTTGTGTAATCAATAAAGCAGAGATGAAGTTCCTTATTTACTTCTATTGAATGTTCTGTTATTGTTCTCAGGAGATAAGCAGCATTTGTTGCACTCTTGTCTTGTCTTCTACAAACCCATATTGCTCTGTACCTTTTTCTGGGTGAATCTTTTTCATAATCCTTTGCATGATGATTCTTAGCAAAATCGTTGTGATGTAACACCTCATGTTTATTGTACGATGCTGATCACATTCTAATGCCCCTGGCTTCTTTGGGGTTGCAATAAACGTAATATTACATAAGTCATTTGGAATATCTCCGGTCATATATTGTGTTCAATAACCTGGTGACCTGGTCTATTCTACATTCTTCTGATGCATTGATTATTTCACTTGTGCTGTTGTCTGAACCTGAGTCTTCGCACTTTTCATATGATTATGGGCATTCTGAACTTCCATCTTCAAAATTGGTGGCCGTTGGTTGTTATTAACCCTACCAGACCTGAGGCCCTGAACTTAACGGTCCCCTATACCTGAGCTCCTGGGCATTAACACGAAAAAACGAACATGATATACACAAATATTAGTTACATTCAAATGAGTGACTAGAATAAGATGAAACTTGGAGACATTGTAGAAAATAGGCTTATCTTTTATCTATCACCAATATTCCATCTTTGTGTGCCAATCCACTCAGGGGGATCAGGATTGTTTCACAAAGTGAGCACCAGATGTTGCTGTTTGAAGGACACGCCCCCTTCTCTTACTTTAAGTTTATAATTTTCAAGATTCTCCTTATTATTCGAGCTAAATGTGTCACTTCAACTGTGAACGTATTCTTCATGAAATAATGACTCCAAGAGACTTAATAAACCAAAGTATCGATCACCTGTTGGACTGTGAAAAGCCTAGACCTACATGACTTTCCTGTCGAAGTGCTTGGTTTAACAGCTGATCGTTTTATTGTGGATCGTTTTATTGTGAATTTTCATCATTTTTTCACATAAAACAACAAATTTTATCCAAACACATGCAGGCGGACAAATAGGAAGACTATCCACAAGATCTGATTATGATTGGCTAGTTATTTTTAGTCTTTGACACATCTTTTTCCCATACTACGCCAATAGCTGAAAAATAGGGCCAGCGGTATAGCGTAAGGTTAAGAAATTCCCGGAAAATAGGGCCAGCGGTCTGGTAGGGTTAATAATATCAAAATGTTCTTCATGGGAGTCATCGTAAAGATCTTTTACATACACTGACCATGCATGTGATATCTCCTCTCTGGTCATTAGGATGATACCTTCTTTAGTTTTCAGGCAACCCACTTATGGGGATGGTCTTTTATTTGTGAGTTCATTAATTCTTTTGTGCATTAATTTGCTATTTTGAGTTTTGTGTTTCGGTTTCCCTGCAATTTTTCTCCAGCCATGAATCTTTTACTTTGTACTTGTCATGGTTATTTTTGTTGCTTCTTCTCTCTTCCATTAGTTTTAAAATGTCTTCCATCATACATTTTCTAAGGCCTATCAACTTCTGCTGCAGGACAAATGCTATTGTCGCTTGGCTGATATTGCAATTGTCTTTAATATCTTCCTTCTTAAGTGCAGACAGATCTGATTTAATGTGTCTTGGTTTATGTTTATTCTTCTTCAACTTTATGTGAACTTTACCTACAACTAATCTATGGTCATTGTAGCTGTCTGATCCTGGTACAGTTTTTGCAGCTTTTAAAGCATTTCCAAATCTTTGATAGATGAGGATATAATCAGTCTGCTTCCTGGTCTTTTTGTCAGGACTCTTCCACATCCACAGTCTTCTCTGATGTTGCTAATATCAGATGTTTCCCACAGTCATATCGTGCTCCTGTGTCCATTTTACCAGCCCTTCTCCTCTTTCATTTCGCTGTACTAATCCACATTTGCCATCTGTGTAACCATCATGCTGGTTTCCAATTTTAGCATTGAAGTCTCCTATTATGAGGCTTAATTCTGAGTTTTTTGCAATTTCCAAAGGCATTCTCCAGGTCACTGTAGTATATACTTCAGTGTTTTCTTCACTGCTTTCGGCTGTTGGAGCGAATCTTTGAATAATGTTTATGTCAAAACGTTTACCACTTAATTTTACAAGTTAACTAGTTAGTTAATCGACAGATTATCCTCATTGCACATCGAACTGTTCAGTCCATAACGGCTTAAATCCCATCCCCAGTAAATCCTACAGCATGTAGCAGCCAACAACAACAGTTCTGTGTTAGTTTCTTTGGCTTCCTGAAAAGTGCTTTTGTCTGGCCACATCCCTTTTAACTTGCTGATCTTGCAGTCTGGTCATGGTTGCAGAGTTAGTCACTTGGTTCTTGCAAACATCTTACTTCTCATAGAGCATTCAAGTATCAGCCTGGTCCATAGCTCATCTGCCCTTTACAGTACTCTTACCTGCAAGCCTATCAGCTTACTCATTGCCTTGCAAGTACTCTTACCTGCAAGCCTATCAGCTTACTCATTGCCTTGCAAGTACTCTTACCTGCAAGCCTATCAGCTTACTCATTGCCTTGCAAGTACTCTTACCTGCAAGCCTATCAGCTTACTCATTGCCTTGCAAGTACTCTTACCTGCAAGCCTATCAGCTTACTCATTGCCTTGCAAGTACTCTTACCTGCAAGCCTATCAGCTTACTCATTGCCTTGCAAGTACTCTTACCTGCAAGCCTATCAGCTTACTCATTGCCTTGCAAGTACTCTTACCTGCAAGCCTATCAGCTTACTCATTGCCTTGCAAGTACTCTTACCTGCAAGCCTATCAGCTTACTCATTGCCTTGCAAGTACTCTTACCTGCAAGCCTATCAGCTTACTCATTGCCTTGCAAGTACTCTTACCTGCAAGCCTATCAGCTTACTCATTGCCTTGCAAGTACTCTTACCTGCAAGCTGTGGCACGAAAATGAACTGACTTTAATTAGCCCTGACCACTTGATATTTTGAGACAAGATACATTTAAACAAAGAATATTGTTTTGTTTAAGCCTCTAACTAGTATGTGGTTTTTTTCTTACTGCACAGAACTTGTGGATTGTGACAAGCTTGACCAGGGTTGCAATGGGGGCTTTATGTATGATGCTTATGAGGCCATTAAGGATCTTGGTGGGTTGTGACTATAGACACTACTTTGTTCAAATGTCTGTGTCAGTTTCAATTGCACATTGTTTATTTATGTGCATATTTATTTTCAGTCCCTCCCTCTCTGTTTTCTTGTAAATGTTTGTGTTTCTGTCAGTCTCTCCAATTTTCTCTTTGTCTCTTTATCTCTGTCTCTTCTCTCTCTCTCTCTCTCTCTCTCTCTCTCACTCTATCTCTCTCTTACATGCTTGCAGACAGCAGCAGACACAGAAAGAAAACAGTATTGTCGTTCAGGCACTCTAAAAAAATCTGCTCACATCTTTATTTGTATGCCCTTTCAAATGTGTAGTTTTGCTGTTACATTTTATATTGCACTGTGTTTAGTTTTAAAATGTTGCGTACATTGCTAAGATTTAGTGATAAATAGTTCTGATATATTTTGGCAGACCTTGACATCATTCCTTTGAAGTGTTACTTCAAGATATTTTATATGCACATCTGGTATTGATGTTTTTGTGAACACAAAGGCAAGGCTACCATCATAAGAAGAAAATTACTGACATCAGTATGACAAGAACATTTAATAGGAATAGAGGGAGAGGAAGACCAGGAGGACAGATGTTAGATTGTATGTAAGAATATCTTGTGGCAGAAATGATTGCAATATATGAAGATGTTAAATAGTATGTAGAAATATCTTGTATCAGAAATGATTGCAATAAATGAAGATGTTAGATAGTATGTAAGAATATCTTGTGGCAGAAATGATTGCAATAAATGAAGATGTTACATAGTATGTAAGAAAATTGTAAATGAGAAATGATTGCAATATATGAAGATGTTAGATAGTATGTAAGAAAATTCTATATCAGAAATGATTGCAGTATATGAAGATGTTAGATCGTATGTCAAAAAATCTTTATCAGAAATGATTGCAATACATGAAGACGTTAGATCGATAGTATGTAAGAAAATTCTACATCAGAAATGATTGCAATATATGAAGATGTTAGATAGTATGTTGGAAAATCTTGTATCAGAAATAATTGCAATATATGAAGATGTTAGATAGCATGTAAGAAAATCTTGTTTCAGAAATGATTGCAATACATAAAGATGTTAAATAGAATGTAGGAATATCTTGAATGAGAAATTATTGCAATACCTGAAGATGTTAGATAGTATGTAAGAAAATCTTGTATCAGAAATGATTACAATACATGAGTCAGAAGGCTTTAAGTGAGTAAAAGTAAAGGTCCCTGTTTACACCATTGGTACATCAGACATATGAAGCATATAATGAGTTTAGCTAATTTTATAGTTTAATATAATTTTTGTATAAAATAATCAGTACTCGCTGGGTGCTGTGGTCAAGATTATGCCGACCCCCTTTACCTTTCAGGAATTTACACGATGCACATTTTAGGCTGGCTCGGCATGGAAGCCAAGGTCAGTTTTGAAAAAAATTAATGCGACTCGATATGGATTTAAATACAAGATCTTCGGGTTGTAGGTTTGCGTCTAGCCGCTATCCCACAGCAGCTCTCGTGGACTGCTGTAGACAGACATAATTTTCATATCACACGGCATGGACATAAAGAAAAGTTTGTAAGAAGTCTCTGTCTGTCTGCTTTCTGTCTGTTTATTCACAGGGATGTGTAATGTCTCCAGATCTTTTTTCCTTATATAGTGAAAATATTATGCCACATCTAAAAGAAACGAAGAGAATTCATGCGAGAGGATGTAATGTTTATAATATAGTATTTGCAAGAGTAGTCTATAAGAAGAGCTTATAAGAAGTCTCTGTCTGCCTTTCTGTCTCTCGTATTTGTGCACACAACATATATACATACATTTGTGTGTGTATATGGTACACTTGATATGTCATAGAACATAATTTCTAAGTTATGTTTCGTTGTTAGCACTTTCTCCACCTATGATACCATTGTTTTTTAGGCGCTACATCACCCTGGATAATTTCACTGACAGACTGTTATGTAATTTGCAGGTGGCATTGAAACAGAGACGGACTACAAGTACACAGGGGAGGATGGGAAATGTCAGTTCAACAAGTCTGAGGTGGTTGCCAAGGTGACTGGAGCTGTCAACATCAGCAAGAATGAAGAAGGTAGACAATTTTACATTATCTAAGGGTTGGATTAGAGGGACAGATAGTTATTGAAACACACAAATTAAAGGCAAAAGGAATTTAATGGCAGTAGGAAATCTGCGAGTCATAGGGAACTAAAACTGGTACCAGGCTTAGATTATTTCACTCAAATGTATACGAACACTACTCTCCAAACTAGGCAGTCAGTGTAAGGTAACTATGCAATGGATACCATCCCAATGTGGAGTTTCCAGAAATAAAAGAGCTGATAAACTAGCTAAGGAAGGTGCAAATTAAGAACAACCGGACACATAACAGTCTCTTACCAGCAAAAGAAGATAATAATCAAATCAATCAGAAAGCCGATAAAACCTGCACAAGATGATTACCATTTTATGGACAGACCAGTGCAAGTTATTATTCTACGTGTTGGAACATGACACAGTCGACTTCGCAGCCACATGTACACAAAATTTAAAATCGGCAAATCAGCCATGTGCACTTGTGGCTTGGCACCTGAGACAACAGATCATGTCCTTCAAGACTGTCCAAAATACTACATATCAAGGCAAAATTTTTGGCCAAGAGAAAAATCGGTGCAAGTAAACTTTACGGGTCGCTGAGTGAATTACAGAAGACCATGATGTTTATACTAGAGACAAGATTTCAGGTGTAGATGATTTATTTCAAGCGAACGAAAGAAGAAGAAGAAGAAGAAATGTATGTCAAATCAGTTAAACAAATCTCATTGAATCAGGAGATGAGGAACAAATTATTGTTTTGTATGGGACACTCATTGAGAATACCTAAAAACGATATAACTAATATTTAATTGCACTGGAACTCACAAGGTTGAAGGAATAAGAAATAAATAAAACCCACAACATTCGGTAGAGAATTTGAAAATCAGGTGGAAAAGATTCGGAGGACATCAGGTGAACTGCCCACAATGGCTAAAGACAGGACAGCATAACACCTGCTGAGGGTCTGTGTCCGGGTCTATGTCCCATTGGGAGATAGAAGGCTGAAGAGCAGATTAAGTGGTTTAAGTGTTCAGTTATGGTTTGTGCAGGCTGATTAGTAGATTTGTTATATAATAGTAAAAGGATTGTATACTCCTGCTGATGATAGGGTAGTTAATTATTCATCTAGTTCTCCTCATGTTGGTTCTGAGGCCCCATTGGGGGGTGGGGAATTATTCCCGTTTTCCCCTTTCTAAAAATTGACTAATTAGGGATATTTTCTGTGAAGTTGAGAGTGCATCTGGCTGAAAAATGAGAAATCAACTATCTACTTACAAACAGCCAGATCTGTAAAACTGGATATGCTCACAAAACTCAAGTTCTGGAACAGGACCAAAGTCCAGCAGTGAACAAACAACTGACAGTCTCCAGAACATGGACAGAACACTCTAGCGAAGTATGTACAAGGTGGCTGCTATGGGCGACTCAAGCCCAGTCTTGCAGATACACACAGGTGATGTGCAGTGACAGTTCTCTGACGGTTCTCCCTCTAGGAGACCCCGCCTAGGGTTGATGCATGACTTGGTGAAAAGAATCCAGACCTCTCGTCTGCTACTCCATTGCTCATTGAAGTATCAGTGATCAACATCAAGTTAACCAGCTTTGCCCCATACTTACCCATCACAACTCCATGCTGGCCAACACACACAAGTTACCCCAGCACCTTCTGTAGCAAAAAGGACACCCCATCAATCAGCATCCCAGGCAACTGCCGACCCCACACAAACCTGAGCTGATACAAATCCATTCTAGGGAAATCACTCAGACAGCATTCCAAAGTACAACTGATGATCCACCACATTCACTGGACAGCTCCCACAGAATAAAACATCTTGTTAAAATTGCCACACAATGAAGTCCATGCATCCATAGGACTTGAACAATTCATGCACATGTCCACACACTTAAAAACACACATTTGGATCTTACTTTGCCCACCAGAACCCCAGGTACACAACCTTCCCGTGCTGTTGAGCCACTTGATGGACCATGATGTCCGCAAGTGCATCAGGGACTTCAAATGACTCATGTTTCCCCAGAGGCTCATGCTCCACTCTCACCCAGTGGCCCCAAATATTTACATTCCCAACCAGTCAGCATAACATGAATGCCCGTGTATAGCCATGCTTCACCAAGCCCTGGCTTCATTACCTCTTTAAACACCAGAGTGATTTTCACTTACAACAACAACCAAAACTTTGCATCAGAGTTTAAAGTCAGTGAACATCAAGAAGAAGAAGAAAAAGAAAGAAAAGATCTAGCCTCCTCGAAAACTCTGGAATATTCCACATGGAGATTTAAAAAAAAAAAAATTCAGCTGTTTAAAATCTAAAAGATAATAGAGCACTGTCTCGGCTGACTTTCACCTTTAGATAACTTTAACTTCACACACATACACACAAATATTTTATTTTTAGTTTTAGGATGTGTGAACCAATGTTTTAGAACCAATCTGCTCCCAGTTGTTAAATGTGTGTAATTTTGTTTGTGGGTATTTCCAGATATGGCAGCTTGGCTATACAAAAATGGACCTATTTCTATTGGTATCAACTCATTTCCCATGCAGGTTAGTTTTATGTTTTCCAAATTGTATTGTTAATAAAATATTTGGTGACCTGCTGTTGAACTGATTTAATAGTGATTTAACAGCATCTTATTAACCTATTCACTCAAAAGCAGTTGTTACTCTAACCCTTCTGTCCCAAGAGTGTAAGCTTGAAAGCAATGAATACTTGGGTCAGAAGGAGTTGAACAGTGGCAGTGTGGTACAGAAGTAGTTTACTAATAATTCAAACATATTTGTTGGTGACAGAAGACGGCAAGAACATCATATTATTGTTGGAATCAGCAAACAACTGTGATGAGTGGTTTGAAAGAGTTTACATTGCATTGTATGTATCTTCTTCACCTGTTCACCAGCTGTAAACTCCAGTGGAAAGTTCTGGTTATTTGTTCACTTCTGGACTTTAGTCTTGTTTCTGTGACTTTAGTCTTTATAGTTGGGCTTCAGAACTGGCTTGTGTGCAGACTGTTGCATACAGATGTACTCTGTTTAAAAAAACACCCTTAATTAGTCAGCTGTTATGACATGCTTGTTAGAAAGGCAATGAGTCTTTTTGTTTTCCCCATATTAGGTCCTTGGAGAGGAGCGGCTGGCCGAACGGTTAGAACGCTGGGCTCTCAAGCAGGAGACCTGAGTTTGAATCCTCGCTGAGGCTGGGGATTTTTTTTTGTTGGGGGCAAAATAAAATCCTCACCTGCACAGTCGTGGCGACAGCACTAACCATGCAGCCGTAAATCTTCTGGCTCAACGACCCCCTCTGCCTAGACCGCAAAAGTGGTATAATAAAGGCAGTAATTGGCGGTTTTGGTGCCCTGGAACTCACAGAGGGGTTATATATATCTTGGAAGTCTACTCATTATAAAATTGGGGCTTTAAATTTACCTGTCTGGAAAAATCCTTGATTAATGGAGCTAGAGCAACTGCTTGTTTGGGGGGGGGGGGGGGGGGGGGTGGGGGGTCACCTCATCCAAGTTGTGTCATTGTGTAGGACATTAAAAGACACTGCACATTTTATTCTTAAAATGCCTGTTTTGGGAGAAGTACTACATGCTGTCCATCCATGCATCAGTTGCCTGTAATGGCCTAAACCTTCTTTATTGGCTCTTATGACATGCTTGGTTGGCTCCTGTACCATGAGCCAACCTGGTCTTGAAAAAATGGATATTAGTGTTTAAGCTTTCAGTGAAGGCGAGTGGGCTAGATGGGGCTTGTAACCTTCTAGCTCATGCTGTGACTTAGCATATGTTAAGGTAAAGTTACCACATCTGAGATGAATCTCAGCATTACTGGGCACTCCTGGAAACACATGTTTCCTGGCCCAAAATGGTCTAATCAGCCACCCGTAAACTGATTCTAACAGAGGATATGTGGTCCTCTATTAGAAGGCACAAATAGTAGCAACATATGAGAAGGTGGCAAAGACATCTGATGGTATGCTTCACTTACGTTACCTTGCAAGAAAATTAAATAAAGAGGTTAAATAAATAAAGAGCACAAACACAACCAGTGACATTAACTCGGCATCTTGGAAACAAGCCGCCACTGTGGAAATCCTCTGTAAGCAGCATTTATAGGATTGAGCCAATGTCAGATATGCAGGATTCGTGGCGTCTGAGTGCAACAGGGTTAAATCATAATTTTTATATTTGAATGCCAAAACAAAACAAAAATGCCATCACACCATCATCATTTTTCCCTCTGTCTTTCCAGTTTTACAAGTGGGGAATTGCACATCCTTGGAAGTTCTTCTGTGACCCGAATGCCCTTGATCATGGTGTTCTCATCGTTGGCTATGGAAGTAAGAATACTGCCTTGTAACATATTACTCAGATCCTTCTTTATATGTGACTCCACTAGCAACCATTAGGAGAGTTTTTGTTGTTGTAACTATGACTTATTTACCAGAGTTAAGAGTATTCTAAAGATAAACATTACATTTCTGGTTATCTTACAAAGTTGCGCTATACAGCACTCCGAAAGGCATAAAAAAAACACGGCTGCTCTCGAGTTGGCTGAAGCACCTAAGACACGGCTGCTCTGAAGTTGGATGAAGAACCTAAGACACGGCTGCTCTGAAGTTGACTAAAGCACCTAAGACACTGCTGCTCTCGAGTTGGCTGGCCCTCGTAAATTATAGGGTTCACATGACTATTTTCAGAATTTTCTAGAAATGGTCTAGGAATGATAAAGGATGAGAACCTCTGATGTTATGGCCTAGAACAATGATTTTCAAACTGGAGGATGCAAGGCAGTTTTAAGCAGAGCATACATTTGCAATTGTAATAATCTGTTATACTGTTTTCCTAAGTTTATTTATAAATTTAAAAAAAATTTCAAACTATATGAAACAAAAAGTCAGAGGCAGCATGTTATTTGACACTTTGATTTCTGTGGATGTTATTTTTAATAGTGCTTGGAATTTGTCTTTTTTGTCCTCCTCTCTTTAATTTTTTATTACAATTTGTGTGTGTGTGTGTGGGGGGGGGGGGGGGGGGTTCCTTCTTAAAAATGTTTTAAAATGCACCATAAGTGCTCTGCCACCAGTACAGGACAGCTGATAAGAAACTGTCCGCCTGTGTCGCACAAAGCTCTGTAGCTACAGCGATGTTCCTCCATTTACCCCAGAGTGTTAACTCTGGTACCCATTTCCTAGAGGCTGGGTGAACCAGGGGAACCATCTGGTTAGGAATCCTGGCTGGATTTGAAAGTGAGTCTCCTATCGACTGCACTAGTGCAGCTAAATAAGGCTAAATATGTCACGTCCCTAGTAGCAGTAAATGCTGTGGGACTATCTGTTCCCTTTTTTTGTTGTAACTTTTAAGCCGACTTCACAGCATTTGTGACATTCGCATAAGTGGTACTACCTCATCTTCAGCAGCAGTCTAAGTATCCCAATGTCAACAGTACCAGCATTTTATTAATTTTGAGATTTTAGCTGTGGTGATGGGTATTGGCATTCTATTTATAGCAGTCTTTATTGTAAATAAGGAACAACCAAAGTGAAGATCATGGAAGTACTAGCACATAAAACCTGCCATCTTTCTCTGTCTTCTACTTGATGAATAAGTGTATGATAACTTAGTCCTGTCCTTGTCTTGATGTTGGCATTCCAGGTTCTTTTTTGCCCTCCTATTTTTCGCCTACCCTTCAGTGTTCCTTGAAGTGCAGTCTTTGCAATTGAATGATGTCTCACCATGTGCCCAAACCAAGCTAGCTTGCGACGTTTCACCACTGCCAAGAGAGGATCCTGATGTGCCGCAAATTATTGCTGTGCTGTCTTCTCACCACAGACTTAAATAATGTTTTTTAGTAGTGAAAATGTTTGTATAAACATTTAGTGTGTGCTAAAATACTGTCTTTACCCTCAACACAAATGTTATCACTTTGACTTTATTGTCATCACAAAAGTTATCACTTTGACTTTACCGTCATCACAAATGTTATCACTTGGATCATTTATGTGTACTATCTTTTCACAGAGAAGGGCAAGGAACCATACTGGATCATCAAAAATAGCTGGGGCTCTAACTGGGGAAGAGAAGTGAGTCATTTTTTATTTACTAATAAAGATAATATAATTAAGTTCACTGTGATTAACATTACACTAAACCTAGATAAGTATTATCAGGCTTAAAAGATAAAAACTCTTAAAACTGGGAGGTTTTGATTGTGTCAGTACTTTTTATGGTGGAGTTTTAAGTGAGGTATCTTCTGATTTGTTGTGGTATGCTTTTAACAGCATAGTATGATCACTTTATGATTTATCAAACAGTTATCATTATCTCTGCCTGTTAAGTGCACCAGTAGATTACCTTTGTTAGCAGTTATCTTTAAGTGAGATATGAAAGTTACATTGTGTAATCAGGCTGCCATCCTGGCTTTTAGCTATATTGTGAGCTAGCTTTCTGCTTTGAATTAGGGCTGCTACCCACTGTAGAATATTAATGGCATTGTGAATATCTTACACAGGTGTAGTGAATAAGAGGAAACCTGTTTGCGGATTTCTGAAGAATGGACGAACAGGTTACATTGCTAGATTTATCCTGGAGTGGAGTGATACGTTCAAATTTAGTTGAGAAAGAGATAGATGTATACACAAGGGTGATGAATGGTTGTAGACCACAAGGCAGACCAAGAAGACGATGGGGAGAAAATGTCCAGACAGATCTGCAAACACTTGGTGTCACCAACTGGAAAGAGAAGGCCAACCAGAGAGATGAGTGGAGGCAGGTGATATTTGCAGCAATGAACCTAAAGGGCTAGGAATGAAGAAGAAGAAGAAGAAGAGATGTTAATGTAATTAATCAACGGATCGTTCTCATGCTTATCAAAACATTTAGTTCATAAGTGCTCTGATCCTCTTCTTAGTAAATCCCACAGCATGGTAATGGTAATGTTAGTTTCAGCTTCATAGCAAACGGGTCACCCCATAGTTGCTCTGCTCCTGTGCCAGTGAAAATCAGATAAAATGGTAATGATAATGTAAGTGTCAGCTTCATAGCAAACCGGTCACCCCATAGTTGCTCCACTCCTGTGCCAGTGAAAATCAGATGGAATGGTAATGGTAATGTTAGTTTCAGGTTCATAGCAAACGGGTCACCCCATAGTTGCTCCGCTCCTGTGCCAGTGAAAATTAGATGTAATGGTTATGTTAGTGTCAGCTTCATAGCAAACGGGTCACTCCATTGTTGCTCTGCTCCTGTGCCAGTGAAAATCAGATGTAATGGTAATGTTAGTTTCAGCTTTAGAGCAAACAGATCGTCCTATAGTTGCTCCGCTCCTATGCCAACGAAAAACACACAGAATGTTTATCACAGTCCCTTGTGGAAAGATTGAAAGACTGCTGTCTCAGCATATGCACTAGCATACACACGCATTAAAAGCATACAGTAGCCATCAGAAGTGCTAACACAAACAGTCCGACATTAGAAATGCAGTTCATTATCGACGGTAGCGGAGGTAACCAGCAAATCAGCAGTTGCACACATGATCAATTTTAATCACATAAGGGCACCACCAATATTGCGATGACAGGCCATGCGCCATTTTCTGAATCTACAATTCACCACATTGGTCACAGTTTTAAAAAAAACATTTTCAGTCAAATCTACAGCATTCAGTGTCACACCATGCACTCAGCTCAGTAGCTGAGCAACAAAACTAAATCCTTGCAGTCTTCAAATGGAGCAAAAAATGCAGCGGCCACCGTCTGGCAGAAGCAAAAGTTTTGCCATGACTCAAAACAGTGACCGTGCCTAGCTTCCATTTTGACCGGAAACAATACAACTGGCAATGATCCACGGACTTCTTGCTAAACGTCCCACAGCATGTAGTAACTGATGACACTTCTACGTTGGTTTATTATTTGTCTATGGCTTCCTGCATGATACTCCTGTCCAGCCACACTCATTTCAACTTGCTGTTCTTGCAATCTGATCACGGTTGCAGATTATTGTCGTCACTTGGTTCTCGAAAAGCCATCAGTATATCAGTATGGTCCATGGCCTGTTTGACCTCCACAGTAGGCTTACAGCAAGCATACCAGCTTACAAAACTGCATTGCAATACTCCTGTTAAATGTCCTTGTTGTACATTGATTCTGAATGGCCCTCTAGGAACCTGCAGGGCTTCTCAGAGTTGGTGGCTACCAGAGATTAGAGAGTTCTTAAAATGTATATAGAGCCAGTTCTAATGTACCGAAGTGAATGTAATAGTTTATGGGCAAAGCATATGTCAGCTAAAGTAGTTTATGGGCAAAGAGTATTTCAGCTCAAGTAGTTTGTGGGCAAAGCATATGACAACTTAAGTAGTTTGTGGGCAGAGCATATGACAACTTAAGTAGTTTGTGGGCAGAGCATATGACAACTTAAGTAGTTTGTGGGCAAAGCAAATGACAACTTTAGTATTTTGTGGGCAAAGCATATGACAACTTAAGTAGTGTGTGGGCAAAGCATATGTCAACTCAAGTAGTTTGTGGGCAAAGCATATGACAACTTAAGTAGTTTGTGGGCAAAGCATATGACAACTTAAGTAGTTTGTGGGCAGAGCATATGACAACTTAAGCAGTTTGTGGGCAAAGCATATGACAACTGAAGTAGTTTGTGGGCAAAGCATAAGACAACTTAAGTAGTTTGTGGGCAAAGCTTATGTCAGCTCAAGTAGTTTGTGGGCAAAGCAAATGACAACTTAAGTAGTTTGTGGGCAAAGCATATGACAACTTAAGTAGTTTGTGGGCAGAGCATATGACAACTTAAGTAGTTTGTGGGCAAAGCATATGACAAAATAAGCAGTGTGTGGGCAAAGCATATGTCAACTCAAGTAGTTTGTGGACAAAGCATATGACAACTCAAGTAGTTTGTGGGAAAAGCATATGACAACTTAAGTAGTTTGTGGGCAAAGCATATGACAACTTAAGTAGTTTGTGGGCAGAGCATATGACAACTTAAGCAGTTTTGTGGGCAAAGCATTGTGGACAACTGAAAGTAGTTTGTGGGCAAAGCACTAAGACAACTTAAAAGTAGTTTGTGGGCAAGAGCTAACATGTCAGCTCAAGTAGTTTGTGGGCAAAGCAAATGACAACTTAAGTAGTTTGTGGGCAAAGCATATGACAACTTAAGTAGTTTGTGGGCAGAGCATATGACAACTTAAGTAGTTTGTGGGCAAAGCATATGACAAAATAAGCAGTGTGTGGGCAAAGCATATGTCAACTCAAGTAGTTTGTGGACAAAGCATATGACAACTCAAGTAGTTTGTGGGAAAAGCATATGTCAACTCAAGTAGTTTTATCAGTAAAAGTATGTGATGATTTTTTGTCCACGGCCATCAGGAAAAGCTAAAACTGTTGACTTTTTTTAAATGAATACATGGTATCTCACTTCTGATGTCAATGGGCTCAGTGCTGGTTTAACAAAACCTGTGCAACACTCCTGCTGTTATTTTCTCCATGTATGTCACTGGTAAATGGTCCTCAAAGATTTTAGTTGAACTTGCAGGGGATTATGGGGGATGATCTTAGATATTGTGGCTTCTAGTGATGCAGTGAGCAGAAACCATGGAGTGGGAACAGCTTCTGAAATTCATTATTCCACCCTTATGGCTAAATGATGTCCATTGAACTTTTATACTCTTTTAATTTGACAAATGTATTCTAATGTCCATTGAGCATTGAGTACTACCTAAAGATAATTTCAGTTCAATAGTCTATTAACTCTTTGAGTCCCACGGGGTTTAGCATCACAGACCCAAGGGGTAATCAAGAGAGACGTAAGATCGACGCATCTTGCGTTCATTGGGCTTGTAGGTAGGAATCTATGGTATGCGTTCCTTAGGACTTGATGAGTTAAACGAGCCCATGACTAGCCTGTTATCAAATAGAGTATTGATGCAATGTGAGAAAACTTTGCCTCATATTTAACCATTCATTGGTAGTTGAAGAAAGAAACTGTCATCTATCTCAAATGAGAGATAGCTGAGAACAGTAGCTTCAACATTGTGCACATATTCTATACAACTGGTGACAGTTGACTTGTGAAAATATCAGAATCTACACATACCATAGTTGGCTGTGGCTAAGTTGATGCGAACGCTTCGTAATGCCGGGGTGCCGGGTTCGATCCCAGCTGCGGGCCAGGCACCTTGTGTTGGTTTTGACAGTTGTATCAGGGAGCCGACCGTCCAGATAGCAATGACAAAATACTGGACGTAAATTTGCCTAGAGAAACCACACCACAGCCAGGGGCTACTGGGGTTGGTTCTGCAACGTCCTGTAAAGGATACGCAACTAACCTAACACATACCATACCCAGTCTCTTATCCGTAGTAAAGGATCCCTTTCCACACCTTGAGATGTATACTATACCACACAAGACATACCAAAAGAGAAGAGGGATTAGAGTCCATGATACACCAGGTACACGATGAAAAGAAGACATCAGAGAATCTGCAACAGTAGTAAGAATCTGAAAATGTCTAATCGAGGCAGTCAGAAAAGTGGGAAACAGAACCCAGTATCCCTCTCCCTCAACACCTGAACTGGTAAACAAGGACGTGAAGAAGAAAAAATAGCTTGGTGGGGGTGGGGGGGGGAGGGGGCTAGCCCCATGTTTGTATTGACTAATTGATACTTGATGGGTAATTTGGTCACTATCAGACTTGCCCTTTAATTTCCATACATGTTCTTATGCCCATTTATAGAAGCCAGGCCAAAGAAAGTTTAATTAAAAAAATAAAGGGCATAACCACTGAGGCGGCAGGCAAACATACTAGCCACTGCACTTGAATTGCTCCCTACAACATACTATAATATCCTTTTATGGGTAATTTTGTTGACATCACAGCCATATAGCATAATATTGTTTCTAACTGCTAGATCAGTGGTTCTCAGCCTATGGGTCGCGACCCTTTTTTGATTCAAACGACCCTTTCACCAAAGACCATCGCAAAACCCGTTCATTGAAGTTATTAAGTAATGATGAAAATAGTTGTATGGTTAGGGACACAACATGAGGAACTGCATTAAAGGGTCGCAGCATTAGGAAGGTTGAGAACCACTGTGTTAGATTATTTTAACTATGGGGGACGTTGTCATAGGACGGACATTCTGTGTTTTTTGTTCTGATGCGGAATTCTTGTAGTGCATGCTGCACTGCATTTGCTAGTTAAGTCATTGATGCTTTCTCACACCTTGAGGTGAATTGAGGAAATGGTCTCCATACTTTTTAGACCACTCAGTGGATGATGATCTGCTAAACAACCCAGAACTGATTTTATGTAATTTAGAACATCTTCTATTACCTTATCTTTTATGCGTGGGTATTTCCATTTGATTAGATTATGTGCAAATATTTTAACTTGTTAAAAATTACAGTAATCTCAAATCATCTTTGCCTTTTCGCCAGACATAAAAAAGTTTTCTTTTGCTGTTAACCTTGTTTTACCAAGATAAGCCTAGAAATTAAGGAGTTACAGTTTACAGAAATGGCGGGCATTTTCTGATAATATTAATTGACACAGAGATCAAAGTTAACATGCAATCAGGAACTGAATTCAGTGTGGGAAATACCAAGTCGAGCATGATTGTTGAATTATTAGTTTAGATTTGTGTCACCAAGATTGGTGTTCAAGAATTGATACTAAAAGTATGGCCAAGACAGTGATAAGAATGTGATGCTACAAAGTATGGCCGAAACAGGGATGAGAAATGTGATGGTATATAGTATTGCTGCAGATGAGTGCTGTAGAATGTGATATTAAAAACTAATAAACTGAAGATTGATGATACTACAGAATGTGGTCAAGATAGGGGTGAATAGTGTGATAATAATAAAAATGTGGTCAAGATAGTGATGAAGAGTCTGATGATACTGGTGAATCTGGTTGAGGAGTGTGATGATACTGCAGAATATGGTCAATGTATTTGTGAAGAGTTTAATGATACTGCAGAATTTGGTCAAGATATTGGTGAAGAGCTTGATGGTACTGTAGAATGTGGTAAAGATATTGTTGAGGAGTTTAAGGATACTGCAGAATGGGGTCAAGATAATGGGGAGGAGTGTGATTATACTGCAGAATGTGGTCAAGATAGAGGTGAGGAGTGTGATGCTACTGCAGAATGTTGTCAGGATAGTAGTGAGAAGTGATAATACTGCAGAATGTGGTCAAGATAGTGGTGAAGAGTGTGATGATACTACAGAATGTGGTCAAGATACTGCCCTCATAGAGGAGACCCAGGTTGAAATCCTCAGCAAGCATGTGGATTTCTTTTGCTCATGCAAAAATAAAATCTTAGCCTGCACAGTCCATGGCAGCTGCTCTAGTCATGCAGCTCTAAATCATCAGCCACCCCTCCCCCTCCGCTCCCTGTCAACACCGCAGGCAGAAGTAGTAAGTACAGCTAGTAATGGGCAGTATCATTACTCAGACCAGATATCTGGGTAGCTAAAAGCATCTGTAGACATCAACTGTTATTCTTCTGTGTACTCTACAGGGCTACTACTACATCTACAGAGGGGATGGCAGCTGTGGTCTCAACACCATGTGCTCATCAGCCACTGTTGCGTAGAGGAGGTCAGTCAGCCCAACAGAAAGCTGGCATGGTAATGCTGCAGAGTTACATCCGTGCATGCAACCCCCTTGAGATGTTCCACTCATTGCACTAAATGATTCTGTATTTTTATTTTGTTAGTAATTTTCATTTTATTGAAACATTATTTTCAAAGTGCTTAGTGAGAGGTCAGTTGAACTGTACAACACTTGCGGTGTCAAACAAACCAGATGTTTGTCAGATGATTATACAAATTAAGTAAAAAAATAAGTAAAGATCCATTTTCACACCTTTAGGCACTTTGGGCCTGTGGGAAGAGCACCCATTATTTTACAGACCAGTTGGCAATGGGTAAGTCGCCGGCAATCTTTACTTTCCCAGGACATACATCCTGGTTACCCATTTTAGGCTGGGTCGACCTGCGACGCCCCATACCATGATAAAATCCATGCAGCCAGCATTGGGTTTTGATTGTAGTACATTGGATTATACAAATGGTAACCCCAGTTATATTTTTTTCCCCAGTTTCTCTGTTCCTGTATCCAAAGCTTTCAGAAGTCGTATTGCAAAATACTAAATACTTGTATTCCGACTTTCTGTTTCACTTAAAAAAAAAAAAAGTTTATTCAAAATTGTATTCTAAATTTATGTTACAGCCAGGCTATAATTATAATTTAACCAGAGTTAATGCAGGACAGTTTGTGTTGATATTTTATTAGTTATCTGTTACAGTGTTAACTGCACCATACATTTTTCTCATATTTCAAACATGCTGATTATAAACTGACTTTGACCAGCAGGAGATACTGACTAATAATTTTCTCAAATAATCTTAAAATGATTTATGCCTAAATTTGAAGGGAAAAAGTAATAAAAGTTTTACAATAAAAAAAAAAACATTGTAAATTTCTTGACACAGCCATAACTTTATTATATATAAAATAAGTAATGGTCTTAATATTTTTATACATACACAGATCTGTTTTGTATTTCAATATTCTGATGATTTACTTCAGATCTTTACTGGTATGTTACCACAGTCCACAAGGGAAGCAAAGAATAGTAACTCTGCAACATACTATACATGGCCTAAGAGGTGATCTAGGAAGGTTGATGTGAGGCTGGGTACCTTATCCCAAAAAGAACTAATGGCAAAATCCAAGCATTTGTAAACAAACTCATAGTGGATCTGGCACGAGCTGGTTGAGGATCTATGCTCCATGTGGAGATTATATGCGGAAGATGAAGAGACTTCATATGTTTGTGAAACTGAGTGTTTTAGCAGTAGATTTAACATGGTGGAAGGGGTGACTAAGACATCCAGGCCAAGTATTGAAGCTTTGTATGCAGCTCATGATGATTAATGTGGAAACAAGGGCTTGCCTCACTAATATGATATTTTAAATGTATTTTTAATTTGCTTACTAATCACATACCCAGATATTCTAGCTGTAAGAATTTAATTGCTTTTATTTTCATGCTTTTCTAATTGGTTGCTTTGGTTTTATTGGATAAGTTTGTATCTTTTTATTTACACCTGATAGTAGTGAAATTATTCACCAAAAACTAATATCTTTAGAAACATATTTTCATGTTTTCACTTCCTGCATTTCATAAAGACACTTTGGCAGGGACAGTTCTCCGGTGGGCGGCAGATGTAAAATGGAGACGTGGACAGTCTTGAGAAACCTGGAGAAGGACAGTAGAAAAGGAAATGAAGGAATGTAAAATGATATGGGATATCATGGCAGAAAAAGAGCTGACTGGCTGCAGTGGAGATCATTTGTGAAATTTGTGAATGCCTTATGTGTCAGCAGTGGCAAGAAGTGAACATATATAGATAAGTTTCATGAAATAATCTTTTTTTTTTTTTTTTCAAGTTTCCTTAATATTTTGATTTATTACAGTTCATGAAGAAAATATTTTTTTTAATAGTCATTTTTGTTTTTTCTTTCTTTTTTTTTTTTTCTGAAATTTTCATTCTGGTTTCCTAACTTTTGTTTATTTTTTGCCTGTGAATGTATGAAAAAATATGTCTTTTGATCTGATTTGTATTGATGAGATTTTGAATATAAATAACCTATGAAACCTTCCACCAGAAGCCGGCTGCGTGGAAAGTATTGGTTTGTAAAGTACAACAAGACTCATTACTCAAGTTGCATTTTTATTTTACAATTTCATTTGTGCATGTATTGTACTACTGAATTCAAGCACAGATTAACTGCTTGATTCCCACTGAAAACATCTTTCAACCTTTTGATATAGCTGAGGAGTTGCTGGCCAAACAGTAAACTCTCTGAGTCCCAAGGAACGCATCACACGTTCATAGGTTTCCACCTAGAAGCCCAATGAACATATGATGCACCGATTTTATGTCTCTCTTCACCACCCCTTGGGCCTGTGATGCTAAACCCCCTGGGACTCAAAGAGTTAAGAATGCTGGGCTCTCATTTAGAAGACCTGGATTTCAAATGCTCAGTAAGATTTTTCTCTGTTAGGGCAAAAAAAGCTGACCTGCACAGTCCATCATGGCAGCACCAGCCATGCGGCCCAATAACCTGAGACTCAAAGATCCCCATCCACACAGCAACAGTGTTAAATACAGGCAGTCAAGGCAGTGTTTGTGTGTGCGCAGATGTAGCTAAAATAATTGCTGGGAAACAGCATTAGCTTGAGTATTGGGTCACTTCTGTTATTCTTTGCATTTCTGTTTTCTAGATTATATGCAGCCTTGTTTTATCTTATAGGTAGTGGTGTTTTTGTTTGTATTTTATTCATTTACTTAAAAAGGGTAAAAAGATATACTGAGGAAATGATTGTTAATAAAATACCAACCTTTCAAAAACAGCAATTTGGAATATTTCTTATGCAGTAGTATTTTTTTTCAGTGCGACCCCAAAAATAATTATTATGAGGAAACTGGGCTGGTATTAAAACAACATTACCTATAAAAAACAAACAGTATTTTATTCTGCTTCTTGTATACTATAGTTTATCACAGAGGTGGCGGTATTGTCCATTGGCATTTCTTTTTACAGGTGAAAAGATGTATGTATTGAAAAAACTGCTGTTTAAAAAAAAAAAACATCAGCCTTGTAAGGTAACAGCAGAATGTCTTTCATTTGTAAATACATGTGTACTGTATATCATTGCTCTTGGTTTGTTACTTTAACATTAATTCCTTTGTTAGTCAAATAGTTCCTTAGCAGATGGATCACCTCAGTCTTGTGAGATTGATGCTGGGGGGGGGGGGGGGGGGGGGAGTGACGAGAGGATCTGGCAAATGCTCGATACTCAAGAAGAAAGGCAACTCTTTACTGGCTGCTGAGAATGGGGACAGATTGCTTATGGGAATGCCCTGAGTGCTGTGATGTCGGTTCTTGAATAAACTCAACTCGATTCATTCCTTAGTAGGGTTGGATGTAACACTGAACCGATCACATGCTTAAACTGTATCAGTCAGTCAGGAACCAGGGCCATACTGAAGCTTGGCTCAGATCTAAAGCATTATGTCTGTTGTAGTAGTTGTATACTTTTACTAACAGCTCATCTCCTTGTCTTCTCACTTGCATCGCTGTCTACATTTTGCTCACCTACCTTCAGTTTTTTCCTTACTGTGGTTATTTAAGAGTGTCGGGTCTTTTCATATGGTCACAGTGGGGTACCTTTTAGCAACAGCTGGATTTTACATGTTGCATTCTTTGGTTTTTGTATAATCACAGAAACTACTTTCTTCATCCTTGGTATTATAAGCCATGATCATTGAGCCAACAGGCAAGGTCGAATTCTAAACTGAACCAGAAATATTAAAGATAAAGATGTTAACTTCTTCCACTGTTTAACTACTTAGTGTGAGATTGTATAAGTTATGCTGTTTATATTTACCAGTATCTTTTATTTGTCTGAGCTGATTTGTCCACCATAATATCTTATATTCTTGTTGATATTTTTTTTTAAATCACTGTTTTTCAGGTTCTCAGTCTGTACTTATTAAAAGATTCTTCTTCTTCTTCACTTCCTCTGTTACCGCTGTGGGTGTCGAGGGAGATATAAGGTTCTGTTTCTAGCTCTTCTGGCTGCCTCGACCATAGGCACATCGGGCTGTTGTAGAGTTTCTCTGATGTTATCCTTCCATATTGTTCTTGGTCTACCCCGTGCTCTACGTCCTTCTTCTCTTTCCATGTATGCTTTGTATGATATGGTGTCACAAGGCATTCTCTCTAAGTGGGCAAACCATTTCACTTGCTGTCTTTGTATGTAATCCAGAATTGGTTCTATGCGGACTTGTTCTCTTATGATCTCATTCCTGATCTTATCTCTTATGGTCACTCCTACAGCCCTTCTCAGACATCTCATTTCCGTGGTTACTAATTTTCTTTTATGGTTTGTTGTGAGTGACCATGTCTGGCACTGGTAGCACAGAGTTGGAATAAATATGCTTTGAATAAGATGTCTCTTTGTGCTGATTGGGATTGTCTTATGCTGTAGAGGGTGGCTAGCTGTCCCAATACTTGGTTTGCTTTACTGCATCTAATGTTAATTTCTTTATATTAAAAGATTGTCCTGAGTAAATCGTTGATTAGACATGCATGTTGCATTATTTTATTTTATCATTTCCACTTCTGGAATCTGATTCCCAAACTGAAATTGTTTATCCTATTGCTTGTTGTCCATAATTCTTACACATACCCTTGTGGACATGGCATAGATTTTCAGAGTTCCTTTTGCAATAATCTCATGCATATGTCATGTATATCAAGTGTACGTTATATTTCTTTTGAATAGCATGTACACAATTTGAGCAAATGTTTTGATCAACAGAAAAAAAAATATACAAATTACTAAACACCACACCACTTTTAAAAGTAAAGTGTGTTCTGTTAAATCTATCAAATCATGATTTCTGTTTATTAAATACAGTTTTATGAGAAGCAGTAAACTTTATAAGAGATGGCAAACTTGAATGGAAAAATAGCAAGGAGAAGAAAATCAATACGTAGTGTATACTAGTGGATTTA